CCAAATCCGAACCTCGACAGGGCCGAGAAGAGAAAGTCCCACTCGACCCTGTCGAAGGCCTTCTCCGCGTCTAATGAGAGTAATATTTCAGATATTTCCTGATTTGGATTTTGAGTGTAAATAATGTTAAACAAGCGTCTGATGTTAAAAAAAATCTTTTTCTAAACGCACGGCCAAGATCTTTGCTAAAATGTTGTTATCCACATTCAGAAGGCTTATGGGTCTATATGAACCTGGTTCTAGTGGGTCTTTCCCAGATTTGTGAATTAAAGAAATACATGCGTCATATAGCGTTGGAGGTAGAAATCCTGCAGCTAATGCTTCGTTATAAACACTTAAAAGGAGAGTTGAAATTCGATCTATAAAAGCCTTATAAAATTCAACACTGTGACCATCGGGACCAGGGCACTTAGAATTTTGCATAGACTGTATAGCCTGCTTTATTTCTAATTTTGAAATTGGTTGTTCTAATAACTCTTTGTTTTCTAAACTTATAGTGGGTATTTGAAGGTTATCAAAAAATTGTTCTATTAATTGTGGGTCTTTTTTAGATTCTGAAGAGTACAATTTGGAATAGAAGTTTTTAAATGTGTCGTTAATTATTTTGGGATTTGTTGTGGTTTTACCTGTTTCTATACGTATCTCTGTTATTAACCTTGACGCTGCCTCTTCTTTAATTTGTTGGGCCAATAGTTTACCTGTTTTTTCCCCGTATTCATAATTTTTGTGTCTTAATTGTGTCAAAAATGTAGTTTCTGCTGTATATAATAAATTGAGTTCTGTCTGCAATGACTGCTTCTTTTTATAAAGGGCAGGTATGGGAGAATCGGCATAATTTCTGTCAATTTCTTTAAGTTCTTGGGTCAATTTGAACTCCTTTTCCCTTCGCTGCTTATTTCTTAAACTAGTCAGGCAAATAATCTGGCCCCTAATGTACGCTTTAAACGTTTCCCACAAGGTGGCTCTCTTGATCTCCGGATCATCATTAGTAAGAAGAAACATATCCATTTGTTTATGCAGATCTTCTATTATATTATCGTCTGATAAAAGTACATTATTAAACCTCCACTTTTTAGTTGAAGGGTCGTGACCCATCTCTATATGGAATGACACTGGACAATGGTCAGATATCACAATTGCCTCATAATCACAATGCTTAATGTTGGTCAGATATGCATAATCAATTAAAAAGAAATCAATTCTAGAAAACAAATGATGAACCGGAGAAAAAAAATAGTATTTTTTTGTGTTGGGAAATAATACCCTAAATGGGTTGCTTAATTTATAGATATTCATGAATCCCTGAATGGCTTTAGCAGACTTTGATATGTTGGATGATTTTTGTGATGATTGGGTCCATTATATCTATTGTTGGGTCCAATACTAGACTAGAAACTTGCAATGGCTGAAGCCATTGCGATTGACTGCGGAACAGATCTAATGTGGAAATCTGCTAAAAAAAATCCTTGAAATCCTTTAAAAGGCCTTGAAACTGTTAAAATACTTGATAGATATTTGAAACTCCTGAAGTCCTTGAAATTGTTGAAACCTTTAAACTCCTGAAATCCTTGAAACTGTTGAAACATTGAAACTCCTGAAATCCTTGAAACTTTTTTTAAACCTGGAAACTGTTGAAAGTGTGGAAACTCCTGAAATCCTTGAACCTCCTGATATCCTTGAAACTGGTTAAATTCTTAAACAGTTGAAATCCTTGAAACTACTGAATGTATTGAAAGTGTCCTTGAAACTGAAAAATCCCCTCACCGCTGAAACAATTTGGTTCCTGTAACTAAGGAAACCTGGTCTGTGGTCATTATCTGGTGGTGGTCTGAGTCTTCGTTTGGGTCTTGGTCTGGTGGTATAATGCAACCTATTAGGTTGCATTATACTGGTTTACATGGAAAAATCCCTATTAGGTTGCATTATACTGGTTTACATGGAAAAATCCCTATTAGGTTGCATTATACTGGTTTACATGGAAAAATCCCTATTAAGTTGCATTATACTGGTTTACATGGAAAAATCTCTATTAAGTTGCATTATACTGGTTTACATGGAAAAATCCCTATTAGGTTGCATTATACTGGTTTACATGTACAAATCCCTATTAAGTTGCTTTATACTGGTTTACATGTAAAAACCCCTATTAGGTTACATTATAGTGGTTTACATGTAAAAATCCTTATTAAGTTGCATTATACTGGTTTACATGTAAAAACCCCTATTAAGTTCCATTATACTGGTTTACATGTAAAAACCCCTATTAAGTTCCATTATACTGGTTTACATGTAAAAACCCTATTAAGTTGCATTATACTGGTTTACATGGAAAAATCCCTATTAAGTTGCATTAATACTGGTTTACATGGAAAAATCCCCATTAAGTTGCATTATACTGGTTTACATGAAAAAAACCCTATTAAGTTGCATTATACTGGTTTACAAGGAAAAATCCCTATTAAGTTGCATTATACTGGTTTACATGGAAAAATCCCTATTAAGTTGCATAATACTGGTTTACATGGAAAAATCCCCATTAAGTTGCATTATACTGGTTTACATGTAAAAAACCCTATTAAGTTGCATTATACTGGTTTACATGGAAAAATCCCTATTAAGTTGCATTGTACTGGTTTACATGGAAAAAACCCTATTAAGTTGCATTATACTGGTTTACATGAAAAAAAACCCTATTAAGTTGCATTATACTGGTTTACATGAAAAAACCCTATTAAGTTGCATTATACTGGTTTACATGGAAAAATCCCTATTAAGTTGCATAATACTGGTTTACATGGAAAAATCCCCATTAAGTTGCATTATACTGGTTTACATGTAAAAAACCCTATTAAGTTGCATTATACTGGTTTACATGGAAAAATCCCTATTAAGTTGCATTGTACTGGTTTACATGGAAAAAACCCTATTAAGTTGCATTATACTGGTTTACATGGAAAAAACCCTATTAAGTTGCATTATACTGGTTTACATGGAAAAAACCCTATTAAGTTGCATTATACTGGTTTACATGTAAAAACCCCTATTAAGTTGCATTATACTGGTTTACATGGAAAAATCCCCATTAAGTTGCATTATACTGGTTTACATGAAAAAAAACCCTATTAAGTTGCATTATACTGGTTTACATGAAAAAACCCTATTAAGTTGCATTATACTGGTTTACATGGAAAAATCCCTATTAAGTTGCATTATACTGGTTTACATGGAAAAATCCCTATTAGGTTGCATGATTACACTGAAGTCCTTGAAACTGCTGAAGTCCTTGAAACTGCTGAAGTCCTTGAAACTGCTGAAGTCCTTGAAACTGTTGAAGTCCTTGAAACTCTTGAAATCTTGAAACTGCTGAAATCCTTGAAACTGTTGAATCCTTGAAACTGTTGAATCATTGAAACTGTAGAAATGTCTGAAAGAGCTGAAGTCCTATTAAAATGCATGGGCCTATTAAAATGCATTGCAGAATTCTCAATGCAGATTTTTGTCCGATTGCGGAAAAACCGGAAATCGCTGAAGTCCCAAAAGTAATAGCAATAATCTCCCAAACATGTGGAACGTTTTGATGTATAACTTGTGGAAATTGTTGAAAATGTGAAAGCTGTGAAACGTGTCAAAAAAAATGACGGAATAAAGAAATACAAAACCAATGGTTGACTGCGGAAGGTTCCGCAGTCAATCAATTAAAATCCCCTCCAATAATCAATCTGTGAGTATCCATATTAGGTAACGCTGAAAAAAAAGAGACGATAAAAGCTTCGTCATCGGTATTGGGAGCATAGATACTAGCCAAAGTCACCGGCTCATTATATAACTTCCCTGTAGCAATAACATAACGCCCTCGGGGATCAGATATGACTTTTGATGCCAAAAAGGAATTGTCTTTCTAATAATTATTGCTGCACCTCTATTTTTTACAGGAAAATTAGAATGAAATATCTGTCCAAGCCATTTAGTTCGTAATCGTTTATGATCCTGATCTCTCAGGTGTGTCTCTTGTAAAAACCCGATATCCATCTCTAATTTTTTAAGGTAGGTCAGTACATTTCCTCGTTTAATAGATCCATTGAGTCCCTTACAATTCCAGGAGACAATTTTAACCAAGTTTATATGACTCGATGAGAAGTCTAAAGTATTGTTGCTAGCCTTCATTGTTTAGGTGGAAAAATAAAATATTTCTCAATTTAGATTTTTTGGACAACCTCATTTGATAAAAGTCAAAAATATATTCAACAGTAGTGCAGGAAAAAACACAGAACAAACCAAAATCTCTAAAAACAACAAACCTTGCTCTCTCTCTGAAAAACCTTGAGCTAACTACTCCATCAGAACTACAGAGGAAACATAGAATCCCCCCCAAACCGTTGTTTGTGCACTCAGAAAGGTGTTTGAACATTTGACTTACCACTAAGCTCCTAAAGAAAAGAAAAAAAAAGAATTAAACCAAAATCTTCCAGACCATCTTAAACATATTTTGGCCAATACCTGTGTCGATTGTAGACCAGCGTTTCCCAAATTTAAAGCAGATAAATGTAGAAATATATATAATAAAAAATAAATAAAAACACTTCTTTTGTGAAGAAATGTAAAACAATAAAAAATAAATGACTAAAAATCTAAATAAAAATAAATGGCACAGGGGTACCTGGTTTAGTGTCCGTTTTTCAGTTTATGCAAGCCAGTCATAACATTTCCACGAGCGTCTAAATCAGCGTTCAATGCTCCTCCAATGACGATGATTTGTTGCGGTTAATGAATCTCTCCACTGCACATGGATCGATGAAGGTCATTCTGGAATCATCAACTGTTATCTCCAGCTTGGCAGGGAAGAGCATTCTGTACTTGACTCCAGCGTCACGAAGTTTGGTTTTTACTTGATTGAAGGCCGCACGTTGTCGTCCTACCTCTGGGCTCATATCCGGGAAGATGTGAACCTGTGCTCCTTCAAAGAAAAGTTTGCCTTTGGTCCGGGACAGTGACATGATCTTTTATTTATCCGAATAGTAGTGAAGACGGGCAATCATGGGTCGGGGTCGCTCGCCAGAACGTGGTTTTGGAGCGAGACTTCTGTGGGCACAATCAACAAGGATGGGACCGTCAAAGTTTTCTTCACCAAGCACTTTAGACAGAAATGTGGCTATAAATATGGTTGGCATGTTGTTTTCGGCCCTTTCGGGAATATTTAAGATCCTGATGTTTTGGCGGCGGCTCCTGTTCTCCAAGTCAATGCACTTCTCCTCAAGTTTCTTCTGGTCAGCAGCCAGAGTCTGGTAGGAGTTTTCCAGAGCCGTGAGCCTGTCAGAAGTGTCGCTGAGGGATTGCTCCATGTCCGACTGTGTGACAGCCGCCTCTTTTTGCATTGAAAACAGGCTCTCGACTTTTCCCATTAGCTTGTCGTGAACAGTTTTAATGTCCGCTTTGGTGGTCTCCCGCAGGGATGAGATCTCGTCGCGTATTTCTTTGGTGAGGCCTTCCTCTCTGCCTTTAGAAATGATCGCATTGTGTCTCTGTACGAGTTAAATTCCGCTCTTAGCTCCGTACGCAAAGTTCCCAGTGAGATAGGACCGTCTTCTGTTAGCCCCGTGGCACCGCTAGCTTTAGCACCGTCATTTTTTCCTGCAGTGGTGGCCAGAGAGTCAAGCTCCAGAGTCGTTTGCGTGTATTGTCTGCCCTTCCTTTGAGACATTATGATATCGCGGACGTGGTAGTGCAATTTGCTTGAAATTAGCTGGTCTGGAAAATAAAATGTTACTTAAATACACACGGAGCTGGTCTATTGCGCTGCTCAAGCCATGAGACCGGAAGCGGAAGTCCCTTATAGTAACATTTTGATAAATTCTGCTTACAGATTCGTTCCAATGACCCGAGGAAAAACCAAAGACTTGCGTGTAATCCAAGCTCAAGAATGGAAGGCTGCTGGTGAAAAGTTTGATGATGTTCTCTTCACTGACGAGTCAGCTGTGGCACTGGAACGTTTTGCCTTGAAGTGCTGGAGAAAGACCAACTTCAGGGGCATTGCAAAACCAAGAGTGAAGCACCCGGTCAAAATGCATGTTTGGGGTGGAATTTCTCGATGGGGACCTGGTCCGCTGGTCATTTTTGACGGTGAGTGATGAAGTTTTGAAAGCAATGCATGCAAAGTAGGCTATGCTAAATAAATTGTTTCAATATGCTAACATATTATTTAAACCCGCAGGTATAATGGATCAACACTTCTACGCGGAAGAAATCATCAAAAAAGCTGCCAGTCCGTACTTAACGGAGCATTTCCGTATGTCTACACATAGATTCTTCCAAGGTAGGCTAACAATCTGTATTCCAAATCTTCAGCATGATTATGACAAAAGCAACGTCGTGATGATTAGGCTACTAATGTTTGTTTAATGATTAAGTTGTCCTCCTAATTTGTCCTGTTTGATTTTTTAAGTACCGTAGTTATTTTAATAATATACATATATATATATATATATATATTCTGGATGAATACATGCTGTATCGGAAAATAGGCTAACAGTGCTGACATGTCCATGTGTTTTTGTTTAAGGTCGCCGGATCTGAACCCCATTGCGTTAGTGTGGGCGTCCATTAAAGATACATTCGCTGTGAGGCCAAACCGATGAGCAAGGACGCACTGATCTCCGCAATAGAGTTTTTTTGGCTAAACAAACTCACAACCCAGGTCTGCAATAAATATATAGACCACCTGGACAAAGTCATCGACCAGGTCATAGCGTTGAAGGGAGAGGCAACTGGCATGTGATATCCCCACGGGCCAAGGGATGTCCACGTTAGTAGTAATCTAGTAGTAGTAATCTTTATTTATATACCGCCTTTTCACCGCAGATCTGAGTCTCAAAGCGGTTTACAATTGTTAATTTTGGGCATTTGTCTCTCACTCCACACAGAGATGGGAGCAGGGTCGCCAGTACAGGAGGCGCATGCTAGAACTATTGGACATATTTTTAGTGGTAGGGGAAACCGGAGTACCCGGAGGAAACCTACGCAGACACAGGGAGAACATGCAAACTCCACTCAGAAAGGCCCTGGTCCGACCGGGATTCGAACCCAGGACCTTCTTGCTGAGAGGCGAGAGTGCTATCCACTCAGCCACCGTGCCGCCCACTTAGCCTACTATTAGTCTACTATTGTTAGGATTTCTATATCCAGTGTTTTGTCAAGGTGCCAATTGCTAATTTAATAAACATTTCCTCCAATGATAAAACTAAATGGATCTTGTTTGATGAGTATTGTGATGTATTCCATTGATTGCACACCAGCGCACTGAGCCAAAATGTGTCAGCGTCTCTCTCTCGCTCTCTCTCTTATTTACATCACGCCGTCCAGAGTGTTTGATAATGGGATTTATTTTAACCAATACTATTAAAACTTTGCTCAGCCAAACAGTAAATACAAGGAGAAGACCTCACTAAAATATCACGAGAGGCAGATTGCTTTCAGGATGTCTTTATCTTCGATTGGCATAGAATTCTACATAGACAATACATAATTATTTTAAATATATACATTAATGCAATTTAATTATAAAGATTAACATTAGTACAAAATATGTATATGTTGTCTCTGCAACATAGAGGCTATCTATAATGATATAGTTGAGCTGTCGGATGATCTGAATGACAGCTCCAGTGTCTGAGAGTGAAACCTGTCACTGCCTTTGCCCAAAACCATCTCACGTGACACCGCGGCGCTCATTCAGTCAAATTGCAACGTGTCACTTTATTTACCCAGTAACGATAACGGTGTTGTAACGATTACTAAGTATGTTATTATGAAAATAAAGCACAACATTTTTGGGGCAATTAGACAACATAACATACATAATAAACGCGCGTGCACCCGCAAATGCGTAATTTTCGTCCACAAAGGCGGTGTTTGATTACTTTGACATTTTCAGTATAGAAACTGTGCTCGGTTCAGGTGGGAGTTAAGAGGTGTTGGTGGCGTTTAGCATGAACCGTGCCGACATTTGATCCAGTTGCAATTTCTTTACTATCTGTCATAAAGTGAAAGGAGCCTGTGCGTCCTTTATTTAGGACAAGACATTTTTAATAGCCTATCACTCAGGCGAGCAAAAACCGAGCACGTTTTCTCCAGTGTTAAATAAAAAATACTTAGTCATTAGGCCAACACATTTAAAATAGTTGCTAGACTGTAGTAAACTGTTGTAAACGTCACAATCTGCACCAACCAAACTGCAGGAAAAAAATGCAACTTTATTCAGTAACGGAGTAATCTGATTCATATACGTTCACGTTCAATAACGCACTTGCTGTAGAAGAAGTCAGAAAGGAACTTTTGAGAAGAAGTGTTTTTATTAAAAAATAAGAAGTAAAAATAAGTAATAAAGTAAAATACAATTGTATTGTTACAGTACTTACAATACAGTGCAGTAAGTTAGTACAGTGTTTTACAGAGTCAATCCTTTGACTTTAAACCACGCTTTGATTGGCCCGAAGTGAGCAACAAACCTCACCGCACGTCACTGGGTGGGGGTGGGGGATGGGGGCTGTGGCACAGTCTTGTTTGTCAAACGGTTGCTTTTGTAAAACACACAACTCACACTCAGAGAGGGATTCAGACTGCAGACATCACTTAAGTCCAAACTTTAGCAGGACTTTTCTTGTACTGCTTTTGTAATGAGCTCATACACATGAGGAAAAGACCAACAAAAGGCGACGTAACACCGCCCCGTGCGTGTGATGCATTGTTTACTTTTCACTCCACAAACCCAGCGTCACTCTATCTAACCATAAAACCCAACATATGAGTCGGATTGTTCTCAAATAGAAAATGACTTAAAGCTAGAGATGCGGCGATTATATTCATGGATGAGTCTTAGTCTGTAGAGTTCTTAGTTTTGTGTAAACAGCAGGTTTCTCTCTCTCTCTCTCTCTCTCTCTCTCTCTCTCGTGAGTGTAGCGCAGACCGGTGCACGTGGAGCTTGATAAGCTTTAAATACAATTGGAATTCAACTCCACAATCAGCACCAACCAAACTGCAGGAATAAAAATGCCAATTTTACAACATGACATTTCCTTTTGACAAGGAAAGAAGATAACAAGCTGATAACGTTACGTAATTGCTTACAAGCAACCAAAAGGTTGCATGTTCTCCCCGTGTCTGCGTAGGTTTCCTCCGGGTACTCCGGTTTCCCCTACCACTAAACACATGTACAATAGGTCTGGCATGCACCTCCTGATTGGCGACCCCGCTCCCATCTCTGTGTGGAGTGAGAGGACAAGTGCCCAAAAATAACAATTGTAAACCGCTTTGTGACTCTGGTCTGTGAAAGGCGGTATATAAATAAAACTTACTTACTACTACTACTTACTTACTACTTAATACCTGAGCGTTTAAGTCGCTGGCAGAGCTAAAGCGGACTTAACCTGCCACCTTGTGGCGATAGGATGTAATATGTTTCACGCAGCTGCGTGATTCATGAAAAGCGTGAGTGAAGACGACAAAACAAAATGGGACCTACTGTATGACTGGCGCTGGAGTGGCTGTGATGGGAGGAGAGGGGCGCTGAGGTGGGTCTGGAGCGGGCTGGGAGAGGCCAGGAGCGTGTGAGGAGGTGCCGTGAGGGAAGAGCAGAAGGAAGAGCAGAGGGATGAGCAGAGGGATTCGGTCGCACCACATGACATTCGGTCGCACCACATGATATTTTTATTATTCAGTCCAAATATTCAGGCAGAGCATTGGACACCTAAACAATTATATTTAAGATCAAATATTCAATTAGTGAAAATAAATCAAAAGAGGTCATACCACATGACATCCAGATTTGGAAACTTTCCACCAACCATTTAAAAGGCTGTTATTTCTTTGAGATGAGAGAGTTCTAAACCTGTAACTTCTTCTCTGGGTCCTTTGAAAATGTAGTTTCTGATAAAACTACAGTGCCTTGCGAAAGTATTCGGCCCCCTTGAACCTTTCAACTTTTCGCCACATTTCAGGCTTCAAACATAAAGATATAAAATTTTAATTTTTTTGTCATGAATCAACAACAAGTGGGACACAATCGTGAAGTGGAACGAAATGTATTGGATAATTTAAACTTTTTTAACAAATAAAAAACTGAAAAGTGGGGCGTGCAATATTATTCGGCCCCTTTACTTTCAGTGCAGCAAACTCACTCCAGAAGTTCAGTGAGGATCTTTGAATGATCCAATGTTGTCCTAAATGACTGATGATGATAAATAGAATGCACCTGTGTGTAATCAAGTCTCCGTATAAATGCACCTGCTCTTTGATAGTCTCAGGGTTCTGTTTAAAGCACAGAGAGAACCATGAAGACAAAGGAACACACCAGGCAGGTCCGAGATACTGTTGTGGAGAAGTTTAAAGCCGGATTTGGATACAAAGAGATTTCCCAAGCTTTAAACATCTCAAGGAGCACTGTGCAAGCAATTATATTGAAATGGAAGGAGTATCAGACCACTGCAAATCTACCAAGACCCGGCCGTTCCTCCAAACTTTCATCTCAAATAAGGAGAAGACTGATCAGAGATGCAGCCAAGAGGCCCATGATCACTCTGGATGAACTGCAGATAACTACAGCTGAGGTGGGAGAGTCTGTCCATAGGACAACAATCAGTCGTGCACTGCACAAATCTGGCCTTTATGGAAGTGTGGCAAGAAGAAAGCCATTTCTCAAAGATATCCATAAAAAGTCTTGTTTAGAGTTTGCCACAAGCCACCTGGGAGACACACCAAACATGTGGAAGAAGGTGCTCTGGTCAGATGAAACCAAAATCAAACTTTTTGGCCACAATGCAAAACGATATGTTTGGCGTAAAAGCAACACAGCTCATCACCCTGAACACACCATCCCCACTGTCAAACATGGTGGTGGCAGCATCATGGTTTGGGCCTGCTTTTCTTCAGCAGGGACAGGGAAGATGGCTAAAATTGATGGGAAGATGGATGGAGCCAAATACAGGACCATTCTGGAAGAAAACCTGTGGGAGTCTGCAAAAGACCTGAGACTGGGACGGAGATTTATCTTCCAACAGGACAATGATCCAAAACATAAAGCCAAATCTACAATGGAATGGTTCACAAATAGACGTATCCAGGTGTTAGAATGGCCAAGTCAAAGTCCAGACCTGAATCCAATCGAGAATCTGTGGAAAGAGCTGCAGACTGCTGTTCGCAAACGCTCTCCATCCAACCTCACTGAGCTCCAGCTGTTTTTCAAGGAAGAATGGGCAAGAATTCTAGTCTCTCAATGTGCAAAACTGATAGAGACATACCCCAAGCGACTTGCAGCTGTAATTGCACCAAAAGGTGGCGTTACAAAGTATTAGCGCAAGGGGCCGAATAATATTGCACGCCCCACTTTTCAGTTTTTTATTTGTTAAAAAAGTTTAAATTATCCAATAAATTTCGTTCCACTTCACGATTGTGTCCCACTTGTTGTTGATTCTTGACAAAAAATTAAATTTATATATCTTTATGTTTGAAGCTTGAAATGTGGCAAAATGTTGAAAGGTTCAAGGGGCCAAATACTTTCGCAAGGTACTGTAAGTGTCTTTGGGTAGATTTCAAAATTAAAGCTTAACAATTCAGTTTTTTTATGGTCGCACCACATGATATTTCCTCAAATTGACTTTTGTGGACAAAGTTTCCTCGGCTGTTAAGAGGAAAATATAATTACGAGATGACTGTAATATCACATGAGGTAAAAAAAACACTTCAGAAAAAATGCCAAATGAAACAGAAAATACATTTGAGTAGATTTAGATACTTTTTAAGCAAATGTCCAACACTGGATTCATGTGTGGAAGGTCGCACCACATGATATTTTTACACTTTCATTAACAAAAAAAATGCAAATACCTGATGCTTATATATATATATATATATATATATATATATATATATATATGTGGTCACACACAGAGGACAGGGACTAAAGACATATGGTCTGTTTGGATTTTATACAATTATATTTTAAACAACAAAAAATGCAGTCGGACAGAGACCACGTCATTGGCTGGTCTCCGAAGTGCCCCTGCAGGAGGCGCACCTGCAGGGGGTGCACTGCAGGAGGTGCACCTGCAGGAGGTGCACAAGCAGGAGGTGCACCTGCAGGAGGCGCACTGCAGGAGGCGCACCTGCAGGAGGCGCACCTGCAGGAGGTGCACTGCAGGAGGTGCACCTGCAGGAGGCGCACCTGCAGGAGGCGCACTGCAGGAGGCGCACCTGCAGGAGGCGCACCTGCAAGAGGTGCACTGCAGGAGATGCACCTGCAGGAGGGGCACCTGCAAGAGGTGCACTGCAGGAGGTGCACTTGCAGGAGGTGCACCTGCAGGAGGCGCACCTGCAGGAGGGGCACCTGCAGGAGGGGCACCTGCAGGAGGTGCACTGCAGGAGGTGCACCTGCAGGAGGCGCACCTGCAGGAGGCGCACCTGCAGGAGGGGCACCTGCAAGAGGTGCACTGCAGGAGGTGCACCTGCAGGAGGTGCACCTGCTGGAGGCACACCTGCAGGAGGCGCACCTGCAGGAGGTGCACAAGCAGGAGGCGCACCTGCAGGAGACGCACCTGCAAGAGGCGCACTGCAGGAGGCGCACCTGCAGGAGGTGCACCTGCAGGAGGTGCACCTGCAGGAGGCGCACCTGCAAGAGGTGCACTGCAGGAGGTGCACCTGCAGGAGGTGCACCTGCAGGAGGTGCACCTGCAGGAGGCGCACCTGCAGGAGGCGCACCTGCAGGAGGTGCACCTGCAGGAGGTGCACAAGCAGGAGACGCACCTGCAAGAGGCGCACTGCAGGAGGCGCACCTGCAGGAGGCGCACCTGCAAGAGGTGCACTGCAGGAGGTGCACCTGCAGGAGGTGCACCTGCAGGAGGCGCACCTGCAGGAGGCGCACCTGCAGGAGGCGCACCTGCAGGAGGTGCACCTGCAGGAGGCGCACCTGCAGGAGGTGCACCTGCAGGAGAGGCACCTGCAGGAGGTGCCCCTGCAGGAGGCGCACTGCAGGAGGTGCTGGAGCAGCTGTGCCCTGTGGGTAAAGCGCCCCCTGCAGACGGGGCAGGTGCGGTGGGAGGAGATCAGTTGGCAGACTGAGCAGCTGAAGGGTCCCTGCTGGATGGGGACATGTGCGTCTTCAGGTTCTCTCTCTTGCTGAAGTCCCTAATGGTGCGTTCAGACCAAACGCGATTTCTGCGGCCAAAGCGGCGGGTCTACATTGACACAACATGGGGGACGCGCGCCAAGGAGCGGCAATAGATCACGCGGCGCGATTCGCGCGGCCAGAGCGGCGCGAATTCGAGCGTTTCGCGCGATTCGCGCGGCGTGTTTTGAGATGTCAAGCGTTTTGACGCGCGTTTCGCGCGATTCGTGCCTCCAACGCGGCCGCCGCTAGAGTTGAACAATGTTGAACTTTTTGGGAGAATTCGCGTGTGCCGACCAATCAGGAGCTTTCTCCTCCAGTGACGTAGTGACGCATTTCACTACCGGAAAAACACTGGTAGATGACAGCTATGGAGGACACGTCAATTGCTCAGGTCGGTGCTCATTCTGAGCTATATAACACTGCGGACCACAGCTACCGGGACCGAAATAAAAAGGAGCTTGCTTGGAGGAGGGTTAGCGAGGTGGTTGGTGTCTCGGGTAAGTTATTTTAACTTTTCAATGTTGTAAATATTTCCCCGCGAAAAAAACTACTACGTTCCTGCTTACGAGTTGATGTGTTTATTCAGTGGAAGTTTGCAAAAAGCGGTGGAAGAATCTGAGGGACACATATGAGGTGCTGAAGGTCGGTGTCATGCAGCAAACGGAGACCTCGAACAGTTGGAAAAAATACATTTCTTTCCTTTCTATTACCCCCAATTTGCTGACTTTTACATTTATATTGCTTTCTGTGTATGCATTTCTTTTAATGCTTTCTTAACATCATGGCCAGGTGAAAATAGGCATTGGCTATTTTCAAACCAGGATAGATCTTGATCATGTGTTGTGTTAAATTTCACTTTTCCCTTTTATATGAACAAATCATTTAAATGTACATAATAATGTACATTATTATGTACATATAAATGTCATAAGCGCAATGTACACATGATATGAAATAATTGTATTTCTTGTTTTCTTCTGGCACAGACACTGCCACCACCACACAAGGTGAGACATCTTGGCCTGAGCTGCCTGCTGCTGCTGCTGCTGCTGCTTCCTCAGCCGGTTCTTCTTCTGTGAGGGCTGGACCTTCCCCTGCTTCTGCACCTACAGGTGTGGCTTTTTTTAATCATTGTTTTATTTTTATTCTTATTACAGGACTGTTCATATAAACAAAATGTTACTGCATAATATGCCAAAATTACCCAAGGGCTGTTACATCAGTGTAGACGACAAATTTACAGAGAAACGACAAGATGTCAAGGCACTACAGGTGGAAAGAAGCTTTGGTCTGATACAACACATCTTCCCTCTTTCTTTGATAAAAACATACTACTGAAATACCTTATGCTATAAAAGTACTGAACAAATACATGCAATGGTTGCCACAAGATGGCAGCTATCATGTTTAATGCAGACAATAGAGTATTACTTTTTTACAGCCAATTTCAAATTTCATTGCGAAATACACTTCAGAGATATTAGTTTGTAACTGTCGAAATTTGTGCATGTGTGAGTAATTTCATTGATAACTGCAATGTTCAAGTTAATTGTAACACAAACACACAACTTAAAAGTGTTTTACATGTGTTTAACTATGTCTACACACTCTGGCTTTAATACAGATATTATTTGCTCTCTTCATTTTGCTTTTTTGAAATACATGTTCCACTTTTTAACACTGTGATTGCCCTGTGTTCTTTGTTGGCGGCCCACCACGGACGTGGGCCTCTTCCGAGCCCTCTTCCTTGGTGGCCTTCAGAGTGGGAGCGGGAGCTGCTGGAGACTCTACGGACCAAAGCAGCCGCACCGCCCCACTACTCAGAAGACCATCAGTTCCTGCTCTCTCTCTTTCCTCTCCTGCAAAGGGTGGCACCAGAGTCAAAAGAATTTGTGAAATTCAAAATGTACCAACTTTTATATGAAAGCAGCACCGTTCTGCTTAATTTGGAACCATTGGCCAGTACAGTTTTTTTTACCTAAGGTGACACCTTTTGCAGGGGAGGAAACAGACATGTGTCCCTTTCCTCTTCCACCGCACCTCCTCCAAGCAAGCTCCTTTTCATTTGTTTATATGTACATTTCATTTATTTTTCATTGTTTGTTCCTTTTTTTATAAAGAAAATATTTTTCAAACCTCATGTGTTCTACTTCAAGCCAACCATTACTACCTTTCATATAATATTGACAGAAAATGCTATTCTATATTTGTACATTTACTTTTATAAGAGCTGACTGGGTTTTATAGAAGATGGAATAACAAACACTTAAAGAGCGATACAGTAGTTGACAGTATTTTTTATTCATTTCACCTTTTACTGTTTTAACAACCTTGTAATTATGGAAAAGCTTGAATGTGCATATGATTAACCTGAAGTTGGAGTGGAGTCGCAGTGGAGTCTGGCAGTCATTACCTAGAAACAGAAGGTATACAGGTGAATAGAATAGTGCAAATCAATATGGGTTTGGACTATGGCCAGATGTGGGTCAGTCTTGTGGTGGACATGACTACTCTGTGGGCTGCCACGGCAGTGCTCCCTCCTCACTGAAGTGGGCCATGAACACTTTCCTTATGTCCACTGCTGGCTTCCAGGCGGCCATCCGCTGCACGCCTGGAAGTGGTTCTTCACCGGCAGCAGCTCCCCTCGGTGCAGGAACCTGCCCATCTCCAGCCATCCTCATCCTCATCCTGGAGATGGGCAGGGCGCATTAAATTGCAGCGCAGTGAAAAGGCCTCATCTGCCACGAACACATGGGGCTGGGGTCCTCTGTGGTCAGCTCCAGGTATGCACTGGTCAGGAGGCAGGTCGAGTGTGCCCTCGCGCAGAGCCTCACCAAAGGCAGAGTTGGACACGATGCCTCCATCGCTGGATCTGCCGTACCCTCCCACATCAATCACCCTGAACCTGTACTGGGCATCCACTACAGCCAGGAGCACAAGGGAATGGTGCCCCTTATAATTAAAAAACATGGACCCAGAGTTGGGGGGTGCCTTCACAGCCACATGCTTCCCATCAATGGCCCCACAGCACAGAGGGAAGTTCCATCGGACCTCCACTCCTCTGCTCCAGGCACAGCCATGAACTCCTCCACGAGGCAGTCCCAGATGGCTGCCACCACATCTGGGATGAGCATGGAGACGGTGGATATGCCCGCTCTGAAGCTCCCCGCAATGGTCCTGTAGGAGGAGTCCCCAGTGGCAAGAAACCTGCAATTACAAAATGATATGAACATATTTATCACAATTACATTCATAACAATCACGTGACAAAACTTGTGTAGCATAAAATACGTTAAACTAGTAGACAGTAAACATCATAGACAGTAATCATAGACACCATATTGTTGCATAATACTGTTTTCTGAGCAATTACATTGTGGATTGTGATTGAAAAATGACACACTTTGTAAGTATTTTGGAATTCCGAATGGGGTAAAAAACACTAACCGCAGACAGATGGACAGGCGCTCTTCAGCTGGAATAGAGCGCCTGTAGTTGGTGTCCTGGTAGGTGATCCTAGCGCCAATGCGGGTCAGTAGGTCGTCAAACTGGGCCAGGGAGAGACGAAAGTACCGCTGAAAGCGACCCTCATCCGAGCGCAGCTCCCGGAGCAAATGGTGAAACTCACCAAACTCCAACCGTCTACGGACTATCTGATGAATCCAGACACGTCGTCGATTCGCCCTTTGACGACGTGTCTGGCTTTATTTATCAGATAAAGCAACTCCTTCGCTGACATCCATTTTGGGAAGCTACAGGCAAAAGAGACAAGCCCCGCCCCTAGACGCTCTCAACGCTCTGTGACAGCGGCTGCCCTCTAGTGTCCTGGCCGCGCGGCCAAGTTTCTCTGTGACAGCGGCTGCCACAATTTGTCACAAGCGGCTCAAGCCGCGCGATAGACGCGATTTGGCCGCAGAAATCGCGTTTGGTCTGAACGCACCATTACACACACGGAGCAGCTGAAGGGCTTGGCCTCAACCTCTTCCTGTACATGCTCCTCCAGGAGCTGGTTGAGCGTGGCGTTGCTGTGACAGCGCTCCTCACACACGGGGCAGAGGATGTGCAGTCTCTTTAGGTGCTACAGGAGGTGGCTCCTGCAGGCCTTGGTGCAGACGGACCAGCTGTAAGGTTTCTCCAGCTGGAGTGCACCTGGGTGTGTCGCTGCAGCGCGGCGTGGCTGGTGAAGGTGCGTCCGCACTGTCTGCAGGTCTGGACGAGGCGCGCCTGGTGCTGAGGCGAGAGGAAGTGCTCTTGCAGCTGTTCCCTGTCCCTGAAGCTCTGCTCACACACGCGGCACATCAGGTGCAGTGTCTTCAGGTGCTGCGTCAGGTTAGAGTCAAATCTAAAGCTCTTGGGGCACGAGGGGCACTGGTGCGGCCGCGCCTCAGCGTGCACACGCATGTGTCGCCTCAGATCCACCCTCATGCGGAAACTCCTCCCACAGGCTGAGCACCTGAAGGGTCTATTGGCCTCGTGGACAAACATGTGGCGCTGCAGCTGGGCTTGGACGCTGAAGCCTTTCCCGCACGCTGAGCAGCTGAAGGATCTGCGTATGGAGTGCACGTGCATGTGTGCGCTCAGCTGCGCCTGCGTCAGGAAGCGGCTGGTGCACTGGGAACAGCCGAAAGGTTTCTGTCCAGAATGCACCAGTTTGTGTCTCTGTAAGTGACTCTTCTTAGAATAGTGTTTACCACAGTCTGAGCAGCTGAAAGGTCTGTCTCTGCGACGAAGAGCAAACTCCTCACCTTCAGCTTTCCCTGTGGCCACAGACTCCAGAGACTGATCTGAGAACACAGAGTCAGAACCACAGAGTCAGAACCACAGAGACAGAACCACAGACTCAGAACCACAGACTCAGAACCACAGAGTCAGAACCACAGAGTCAGAACCACAGAGACGGAACCACAGAGTCAGAACCACAGAGACAGAACCACAGACTCAAACCACAGAGTTAGAACCACAGAGACAGAACCACAGACTCAAACCACAGAGTCAGAACCACAGAGTCAGAACCACAGACTCAGAACCGCAGAGTCAGAACCACAGAGACAGAACCAAAGAGTCAGAACCATAGAGTCAGAACCACAGAGTCAGAACCACAAAGACCAGAGAGAGAGACCAGAGAGAGAGACCAGAGGGAGACCAGAGGGAGACCAGAGGGAGACCAGAGGGATAGACCAGAGAGAGAGCAGAGAGACCAGAGGTAGACCAGAGGTAGACCAGAGGGAGACCAGAAGGAGACCAGAGGGAGACCAGAGGGAGACCAGAGGGAGACCAGAGGGAGACCAGAGGGAGACCAGAAGGAGACCAGAGGGATAGACCAGCGAGAGACCACAGAGAGACCATAGAGAGAAACCAGAGAGAGACCAGAGAGAGACCGGATTAAATGTGGTCCGGGTGGTCAGAGCAGGACTGGCCTTCAGACCCAGTCTAGACCTTGACTGGACTAGACTTAGACCAGCGGCCCAGACCTAGACCCAGCCTGGACCAAGGTCAGGTGGACTTACCAGAGTTCAGCTGCAGTCTGGACAGAATCTTCCCTCGGAGCGTCTGACTGGCCGGAGGCTCCCAGTCCCAACTAGAGTCTGACTCCGCCCCCAAGTCTGGCTCCTCCTCCTTCACAGGAACTGAAACTTAAAGTAGAACTAGAATTTAATATGCTGCTATCCAGAATATATAACTACAATATGTGTTTATAATATTTCGGGTGTTCATTTTGACACGGCTTTGAAGTGGCACCTTTTAACAAACACTAGGGGGCGCCAAAATGGCGGCGATGACGTAGGAGAAGGACCCAAGCCCCGGCGATCCAAGATGGCGCCCTATTCAAATGAATGGTTGTGCTCAGTGGCGCTTTGTGACGGCATGGGGGCTGAAAGATTAGCGGAAGTCGCCTGGAACTCGAAAAGATCTATGGGAAACTCTCAAATATCTATGGGAAACTCTCAAAGATCTATGGGAAACTCTCAAAGATCTATGGGAAACTCTCCTGTATTTGGGCATCGTCTGGTCCTCCCGGTTCTGTGCAGTGGATGATCTCCCATAATGCATTGCGCCAAACACGTGTGTGTGGGTCTCACACCGGGTCTCACGCACGTGCACAGAGGGGCTCGGCTCTGACCAATCAGAGCAGTTCATCAGAGCGGGAGTTAGAGCGAGAGCCAGACGAGCAGAGTTTGTGGCACTAAAGTGTGGATTTAAACAAAACCGAAGGATTTAAGAAGAAAAAAAGTTCAGGATGACAAGGGACACTAAAATCCCCACAAAATCCGACCTTTGTGAAAGCTGTAGGTTCTCTGTCAGGTTCTCTGTCAGCTGAGGTCGAGCTGTTTTAATATGCATTGAGTCTTATGGGGGAAATGCCCACGTGAATTTAAGGACTGTTTCCACGGGCCCGACTCTACTCGCCTCAACTCGACTCGGCACGACTCGACTCGGTTTGAGAGCGTTTCCATCGGCCCTGTGTATCTATGGCAACGTGTTACCTAAGGGGTAGTGATGCGCGGGTCGGCCCGAAAGCCGCGGTCAACCCGCAGTTTTGGGCGGGTTGGATGCCTCAAAAATATGAGACATGTCGGGTGCGGGTGGGTCGGGTCATAAACTCCTGATCCCTATATATAATTATATATATAATTATATATATAATTAAGTTTAACAGGGAGGCTGTTAAACCAAACAATCACAAACACCCGTAGGATTGCCACCTTCCTGACTCCTGCTTTAAAACCCTCAAAATGCTCCAGCCATAGCTCCAGCCGTAGCTCCAGCCGTAGCTCCAGCCGTAGCTCCAGCCGTAGCTCCAGCCATAGCTCCAGCCGTAGCTCCAGCCGTAGCTCCAGCCATAGCTCCAGCCATAGCTCCAGCCATAGCTCCAGCCCGAAGAGAGATGTGTGATCCACACAGAGGCGCGTAGACTGATGACGCTGTGGGCATCACAGGCCTTCTAAGCCGGCCGCGGCGCCAGGTATAGGCCTGGGTAGTTTTTACCAGTTTTTATCTTGGCCTACTCAAATTTGTTCCTCGCCTCTCAAGTCATTTGCCTTTTTTATTAAAAGACATAATTTAAATATTGTTATTTCTATACACACATTATTGCTAAAATGTTGCGTTCTAATGTTTTTAGAAAATGTAACCGCCTGAGCGTCATCAGGTTCGTTGCTTCAAATATAGTTCTGTTTATTGGCTGAACAATTTTGTCCAATAAGCTGCATGATCATATCAAACATCCCAAAACCCATGCGCGAAGCTCGTTCCCCGAGAACAACCAGCTATTCCTCCTCTTAAAGATTGACATTCACAACGGAGCAGCCTGTTTAATTTTAGTTTTAAGAAAGGTAGAGGAGCCAGAGGCCCGGGCCGTAGGTCCCAGAGGAGGAGGGTCAGGCCTGGCTCACCTCGCACTGATGAGGTAAACTCCAGGCCTGTGTGAGACACACTGTGGGCCTCACGTATGAAACTGCGTACGGCCAAATCAGGGTAAATGAGGCGTACGCATTTATCAATCTGGACGTGAGTGAACAATACGCACAAAATATACACCAGGTCTGGAGGTGGTGTAAATCTAGAGAAGTTAGTGCGCGGACGTAGCGCTCCTCAGATTACTACGCCTCACAATATAGTACCCGTTTTATCCGCTGAGAAAATCGACAGTTACATTTCTGTGTTACTATACTTTGCAGTGTAACACGTCACGTAACTATATACATTTAATAGGGAACACTTGGAAGAGTTTGGTAGCTTCTAGCGGGAGCTACCTTTTGGGTACTATACAGTGACCAGAGGAGGCTGCGTTTGTGCTCCCGTTTTTGCTCCGTTTGCATGACAGAGCGCACGGACTAAGACCAGACAGGTACGTATTAACTAGTCTAAGGTGAGGTAAGAACATATGTCAGTATGTAAAAACGGTGAACTATTCCTTTAAGGTTTAACCTGCTGTTTGTTCAATAAACTGAGTGAAACCGGCCTAAGGTGGAGTCAGAGTCCTTCCTTGTCAAGTGAAGCTGTAGTGTTTATGGTTCAGGTGCACTTGATACTGATCGATAAATCCTGCTCTAGTTCCATATCCATCGATATCCATAATTATTGATTTGTTTTTTTAAACCTATCACACAGATATTATTAATTCTCTGGTCTCTCTCTGGTATGTCTCTGGTCTCTCTCTGGTCTCCCTCTGGTATGTCTCTGGTCTCCCTCTGGTCTCCCTCTGGTATGTCTCTGGTCTCCCTCTGGACCCTCTCTGGTCTCTCTCTGGTCTCTCTCTGGTCCCTCTCTGGTCCCTCTCTCTGGTCTCTCTCTGGTCTCTCTCTGATCTCTCTCTGATCTCTCTCTGGTCTCTCGCTGGTCTCTCTCTGGTCTCCCTCTGGACCCTCTCTGGTCTCTCTCTGGTCTCTCTCTCTGGTCCCTCTCTGGTCTCTCTCTGGTCTCGCTCTGGTCTCTCTCTGGTCTCTCTCTCTCTGGTCTCTCTCTGGTCTCTCTCTCTCTGGTCTCTCTCTCTCTGGTCTCTCTCTGGTATGTCTCTGGTCTCTCTCTGGTCTCTCTCTGGTCTCCCTCTGGTCTGTCTCTGGTCTCCCTCTGGACCCTCTCTGGTCTCTCTCTGGTCTCTGGTCTCTCTCTGGTCCCTCTCTCTGGTATGTCTCTGGTCTCCCTCTGGACCCTCTCTGGTCTCTCTCTGGTCTCTCTCTGGTCCCTCTCTGGTCCCTCTCTCTGGTCTCTCTCTGGTCTCTCTCTCTGATCTCTCTCTGATCTCTCTCTGGTCTCTCTCTGGTCTCCCTCTGGACCCTCTCTGGTCTCCCTCTGGACCCTCTCTGGTCTCTCTCTAGTCTCTCTCTCTGGTCTCTATCTGGTCTCTCTCTCTCTGGTCTCTCTCTGGTCTCTCTCTCTCTGGTCTCTCTCTCTCTGGTCTCTCTCTGGTATGTCTCTGGTCCCTCTCTGGTCCCTCTCTCTCTGGTCTCTCTCTCTCTGGTCTCTCTCTCTCTGGTCTCTCTCTGGTCTCTCTCTGGTCACTCTCTGGTCACTCTCTGGTCTCTCTCTGGTCTCTCTCTGGTCTCTCTCTGGTCTCACAGTTCCAACACTTACACCAGGTCTTATCCTCATCTTCTTCTTTAACCTTCACACAGAGAGGCTCCTCTTTCACCTGAGAGACACTGGAACATAGAGCAGAGAAGGATTAAAGCTGAGGCGCCTAACTTAAATAACGAGCCAGCCCAAAGAGAGACCAGAGAGAGAGACCAGAGAGAGAGAGAGACCAGAGAGAGAGAGACCAGAGAGAGAGACCAGAGAGAGACCAGAGAGAGAGACCAGAGAGAGAGAGAGACCAGAGAGAGAGAGACCAGAGAGAGACCAGAGAGAGAGACCAGAGAGAGAGACCAGAGAGAGAAGAGACCAGAGAGAGAGACCAGAGAGAGAGAGAGACCAGAGAGAGAGACCAGAGAGAGAGAGAGAGAGACCAGAGAGAGACCAGCGAGAGACCAGAGAGGGTCCAGAGGGAGACCAGAGAGAGGGACCAGAGAGGGACCAGAGAGAGAGACCAGAGAGAGAGACCAGAGAGAGACCAGAGAGAGAGACCAGAGAGAGACCAGAGAGAGAGACCAGAGAGAGAGAGACCAGAGAGAGACCAGAGAGAGAGACCAGAGAGAGAGACCAGAGAGAGACCAGAGAGAGGGACCAGAGAGAGACCAGAGAGAGACCAGAGAGAGAGACCAGAAAGAGGGACCAGAGAGAGACCAGAGAGAGAGAGACCAGAGAGAGACCAGAGAGAGAGACCAGAGAGAGAGACCAGAGAGAGACCAGAGAGAGACCAGAGAGAGAGACCAGAGAGAGAGACCAGAAGTAGCATATAATTATATTATGAAACAAGAAAACAAAAAGAATGCATTTTGAATAATAATAATTGATAAATAAACTGTTTTAACATTATTAATCATGTGCTGTTTTAGGCGAGCATGAAACACTGAATAAATAAGTATTACTACTGGGTCTTTTTAAACACATTTTGAAAGATCTTCATGGGTAAACTACACATGTGGTTTATTATTGTGTCTTTAGGGAAAAGAATAGTTTTCTGAACAAAGAGAAGGTATTGTTACAGACTGAATGAGAAACCACTTTATGTATTATCTCTCCAGGGGAAAATGTCAGCCCCCTCCAGTGTTAGTGATGCTAATGCTAGCTACTCCTGCTAACGAACCCGCTCGACACCGCACAGAAGCGGGTTCAAGAGTGACAAACGGGCCAAGAATACCCACATCTGCTCCATCTGCTCCAGCTTCACCCCCGCCATGTCTCACTGCCCCTGGGGATATGGACACGGCTTCAGTTAGCTTCAGTTAGCTCCCATTAGCGGCTGTTAGCTTCCGTTAGCTCCCATTGGCTCCCGTTAGCTTCGGTTCGGTCCTTTCAGTCTATAGTTGTAACCCGTTGGCTCTAGCTTCCGATAGCTCCTATTAGCTCCCTCTGGTTCTCTTTAGCCTTTATTAGCTCCTGATGCCTGATGTTAGCTTCGCTGTGGTGCTGTTAGCTCCTGTCCCCTCCCGTTAGCTTCAGTTAGCTGCTCCTAGCTTCCTATGGTTCTCGTTAGCATTAGTTAGCTCCCGTCCCCTCTCGTTAGCTTCAGTTAGCTGCTCCTAGCTTCCTATGGTTCTCGTTAGCATTAGTTAGCTCCCGTCCCCTCTCGTTAGCTTCAGTTAGCTGCTCCTAGCTTCCTATGGTTCTCGTTAGCATTAGTTAGCTGCTCCTAGCTTCCTGCTCCTAGCTTCCTATGGTTCTCGTTAGCATTAGATAGCTCCCGTTGCCTGATGTTGGCTTCGCTGTGGTGCTGTTGTCCCCCCGTTAGCTCCCTTTAGCTTCTGTTAGCTCGCGTTAGCCTGGGAGCTCTGAAAAGGTAGTGCTACTTGTTACGCAGTCATGTAGAGAATTCCCAGTTGTAGATTTGTAAAGAACAGATCAGAGAATCAAGCTGTTGAAACACAGAAAAATGCAAATATATAAAATAAAATACACACAGGAGCCAGACCAGAGAGAGAGAGAGAGAGCAAATCAGACCAAACTGTGGTTGTGTCCTTAGGCAAGACACTTCCCCCACATTAGAATGAGTCTGGTGTGTGTGTGTGTGTGAATGGTTGGTGATGGTGGGAGGGGCCGATGGCGCAGACTGGTTGCCTCGCTTCTGTCAGTGTGCCCCAGGGCAGCTGTGGCTACAGTGGTACTTCATCATCACCGTGTATGGAGTGAAAGAATAATGACACGTGAAGCGTCTCAGTGTCAAAGAATTGTTGTTTAAAACAGATAAAATAAGTAAAATAAACTTTATAGATCTCACAATGGAGAAATCTACTTGTCAAATTGGCAAAGATAGGGTTTTTAATATTAAATAATGATTAAAAACACACGCATGAACAAAGAAAGCCTCAGTATTAGGGAGAACCTTCCTGCACTGCCAGGTTAAACCAGGTTAAACCAGACCAAGTGATTAGATCCATGTGTGGTCCATAGAGTCCTGTCGGCGCTGTCATTACAGTTCCCCCCCGCGGCCACTGGCGGCGCTGCTGCCCACGTTAGTCGCGGAAGTCGTTGCCATGGCAGCTGCTGTTTGTAGCAGTTAGCATTCGGAGCTAACAGAAGCTAAAGTCAAGAGTCCCGAAGATTCAAGGAAAAAAAGAGGAAAATGGTGAGAAAACATGGACCAGAACCAGACCAGACCCGGACCTGACTACACCAGGACTTAAGCAGGACTTAAGCAGGACTTAAGCAGGACTTAAGCAGGACTTAAGCAGGTCTGAAGCAGGACTAAAGCAGGTCTGAAGCAGGACTAAAGCAGGACTAAAGCAGGACTAAAGCAGGTCTAAAGCAGGACTAAAGCAGGTCTAAAGCAGGACTAAAGCAGGTCTAAAGCAGGACTAAAGCAGGAGTTAAGCAGGACTAAAGCAGGACTTAAGCAGGACTAAAGCAGGACTAAAGCAGGTCTAAAGCAGGACTAAAGCAGGTCTAAAGCAGGTCTAAAGCAGGACTAAAGCAGGACTAAAGCAGGTCTAAAGCAGGTCTAAAGCAGGACTAAAGCAGGTCTAAAGCAGGACTAAAGCAGGACTAAAGCAGGTCTAAAGCAGGACTAAAGCAGGACTAAAGCAGGACTAAAGCAGGTCTAAAGCAGGTCTAAAGCAGGACTAAAGCAGGACTAAAGCAGGACTAAAGCAGGTCTAAAGCAGGTCTAAAGCAGCAGGACTAAAGCAGGTCTAAAGCAGGACTAAAGCAGGTCTAAAGCAGGTCTAAAGCAGGTCTAAAGCAGGTCTAAAGCAGGACTAAAGCAGGTCTAAAGCAGGACTAAAGCAGGACTAAAGCAGGACTAAAGCAGGTCTAAAGCAGGACTGAAGCAGGACTAAAGCAGGTCTAAAGCAGGACTAAAGCAGGTCTAAAGCAGGACTAAAGCAGGTCTAAAGCAGGACTAAAGCAGGTCTAAAGCAGGACTAAAGCAGGTCTAAAGCAGGTCTAAAGCAGGTCTAAAGCAGGACTAAAGCAGGTCTAAAGCAGGACTAAAACAGGAGTTAAGCAGGACTAAAGCAGGACTTAAGCAGGACTAAAGCAGGACTAAAGCAGGACTTAAGCAGGACTAAAGCAGGTCTAAAGCAGGTCTAAAGCAGGACTAAAGCAGGACTAAAGCAGGACTAAAGCAGGTCTAAAGCAGGACTAAAGCAGGTCTAAAGCAGGACTAAAGCAGGACTAAAGCAGGTCTAAAGCAGGACTAAAGCAGGACTAAAGCAGGACTAAAGCAGGTCTAAAGCAGGACTAACGCAGGTCTAAAGCAGGACTAAAGCAGGACTAAAGCAGGTCTAAAGCAGGTCTAAAGCAGGTCTAAAGCAGGTCTAAAGCAGGACTAAAGCAGGTCTAAAGCAGGTCTAAAGCAGGACTAAAGCAGGACTAAAGCAAGTCTAAAACAGGTCGAAAACAGGTCGAAAGCAGGGCGAAAGCAGGACTGAAGCAGGTCTGAAGCAGGACTAAAGCAGGTCTAAAGCAGGACTAAAGCAGGACTAAAGCAGGACTAAAGCAGGACTAAAGCAGGACTAAAGCAGGACTAAAGCAGGACTAAAGCAGGTCTAAAGCAGGTCAAAGCAGGACTAAAGCAGGACTAAAGCAGGACTAAAGCAGGTCTAAAGCAGGTCTAAAGCAGGACTAAAGCAGGTCTAAAGCAGGACTAAAGCAGGTCTGAAGCAGGACTAAAGCAGGACTAAAGCAGGTCTAAAGCAGGACTAAAGCAGGTCTGAAGCAGGACTAAAGCAGGACTAAATGCCAAATCTTGGTTGTAGTATTTTGAGCCAAAGCATATTCCCCAACTTTTGATTCTGATTGTAACAAATAGCATTGCATTAGACGATTTTTATTGCCGGATTCTTGTCTGGCCAAATCTCTATTCTTGTATTGTATTTCAGACAATTCCTCCAAAAACAACACGTCGTTCTCCAATATTATAAAGACTCACATCTAACCAAGTTGCCTGGAAAGGGAGTTAAACCTATTTTAAAACGTTCTCCTACGATTATAAGGCTAAATGAAATTAATTATTATAATATACAAAAGCACATACATTGGCTTCTGTCCACTGCTATAACTGGTTGAATGAGTTGTCCCAAACTTAATATGTGTAAATACATCAGCTGTTTGTAATAAACAATAACATTTGACCTGTTCTCCAATGGAGCAGCTCAGAGTCTGCGTCCAAAAGCAATGTGTATATTTGGAGCTATTTTTAGATTAAAATTGTGTTAAAGGCCTGTCGTTCGATGTCTGCATTTATTACTACTCTCTAGTAAACACATCTGCACTAGTTCCTAAACAGGATGTGGAAAAGCAAAGCATCTAAAATCGACTCTATTTGATTCCTTTTTACTTTAGTTATTAGAATAATTTGATCATATGATCTATAATTTCACATAGAAATATTTTGATTATTCACTTGTCTAACTTATTATTACATTTGTTTTATCTGACACTTCAACCTATAGCTCCTCGAATCCAATGACATTATAGCTCCAGACAATTTCACAATCTATTCTAATTATTATCTATATTATTATTGATCTATATCTTAAGAGTAGATCTGTTTGATGTAAAGCGCTATTATTTCCCTTTTGAAATTTGCACAACACCCCTTTTGAATTTTGCACAACACGAAATTTAGAATGTCCTCCCTATGGACAAATAGAGAATTTTATTTCATTTTGGCAACTCCGAAAATTACTTAATATTTTTCCCACATTTTGCTTTTTAGGCAGCCCTTTCTATTATTTATTTGTTCTTGTAAAGATATGTTTTAACAGCACTTCTTCTAATGATTAGAAGGTTAAGGAACCCATGAACCACCTATGACATTAACAATACTCCCCTCCTGTTGGTCGTGGTCCCAAAGTAATAAAACATGCATCTGTAGTGTGTTGTAGGATTACTGTTCCACTCCTGTTGCTACCTCCCGATCGCCTCAATTCATATTGTGGGGCTTTTGGTGCAAAAGTAAGAGGCTCATTTCCTTAATTCACTACTACTGTCATGCCCTGAAGCAGTGGGGCATTTTATCATTCATCTGAAAAACAAACATAGAACACAAGAAAAAACGCCGCACTTTCCTCTCCGTCGCATGGTGCACCTGTCAATCAATCCAATTGGCAAAACATAACTGCATTGACAGAACGGTGTGTGACCTTCAGGGCAGAAGGCTGTAGCCAAATACAGAACTTAACAATATTTATGTTTCTAATTTTACACGATGCCGATGCGGAAAATACCGTTTAATAATACAAAAAAACGTATGGCGCACCTCCGTGAACACATACTACTGTTATATAAAAGCCCGTGGAAGGTCTCTGTTCAAAGACACGCTGCAAAGCTGCATATTGGAGAAGATCTGTACACGAGAAGCCGCTAGCATAGCTCTGTTAGCATTAGAGCCGGTACTTCCGGTACTTCCGGCTCGCGTCAGGACGTTCTGGTGTGAAGTCCTCTGCGTCTGAAAACAAGAGAATGCGCGTCTGGTGAGCAGGGTTTGAGCGTTTGCGGTCTGAATGCACTAAGAGCAGCTGATAGCAGTTGTGTTTCAATGTAGAGCCCAAGTTTCTCTTTTGCCAAGGGAAAAGGGCAGCTTGTTTTCATTTTTTAACAAGAAAGCCATGCATTTGAATCGGACTGACATAATTGGAAACATTAATGGAGCAACAAGGAAAAAATACTTAAACTGGAACAGACACAGCAGCAGCCACGACTCTGCAGGTGCACACAGCTGCGATATGCGACTCCTCT